CTGAATACTTATGACCCTGTGATATTTCAGTTTTTCTTTTTTAATAAATCTGCAAAAATGTCAAAAATTCTGTGTTTTTCTGTCAATATGGGGTGCTGTGTGTACATTAATGAGGAAAAAATGAACTTAAATGATTTTAGCATATGGCTGCAATATAACAAAGAGTGAAAAATTTAAGGGGGTCTGAATACTTTCCGTACCCACAGTATGTGAGTTAATATTATAGTACTGTATATAGGAAAAAAAAGGACTCCCTTGCTTTTTCTCCTATGTTAATTTTTGCTAAGAATCACTTTTCTGTCCACAGTATGTGAGTTAATATTATAGTAGTGTGTGTATATAGGGGGAAAAAAAAGGACTCGCTTGTTTTTTTTCTCCTTTCTCACTTGTTACCTTTTGCTAAGAATCACTTTTCTGGCTGTAGTAACTGTGAGCATGAGTGCGATGATGTTTGATTTAGCTCAAGACACCACTGTACCAAAGTCCTTGTGGACTTGTTAGTGTGGCTGTGGCTTATCTTGTAACAACTCAACTCTATAGTCTCTGAGCTGAATTTGTTGTTTGCCACTGTTTTCTGTTTCACAGTTGCTTTTTGTAAAAACTGCAAAGGCCAACTGCGTATCTTAATTGAAACCATGTTTAGCTCTGCATACGGTGACAAAATACCACAAAATATAAATTACAATGCAAAATACCACAGTGCATTTACCCCTGTAGTGAGGGCAGCAGGAGAAAATGAATGTGATGTGCGGTTGACATATCTTGTAATACGTGAAAAGGCCACATGAGAGCACTAAAGTCAAATTTAGAGAAGCCTGCGTACCTTTGAATAGAGATGGTTGATATACTGTATGTACACTTGTCAGATACAATTTCTTTTGAAATTGACATTTCTAAAGTATATGCAAATTATTTTATTTTGATCAGTGCTTTGACTTATGATTGATTCGTGGGAGTTCATGATACCCACACTGTAAGCCCTGGTGTGACACTCTAGTGTGTTTGTTTTGTGTTTTTATAATCTTTCAGCAGTTTTGTAGCATACAGTAATTTATTACTTTTGGTCAATTTTTAAAAATCTGTTACATGTGTTTATAACAATATCATTTCTTTTGATTTCATATATAATACTGTGTACTTGGATGAATTTGTATGTAGATGATTACATTTTGACTGTTTTTTATAATAACAGATTAAAGAAGATTCCCTCATATGAACTATTTGGTCATCCTTCTGATTTCATGCTGTCATCAGCTGGAGAGACTCAGTAAGAAAGCACTGCTCGAGGTGTCTGACTCACTAGCATTGTCATGTCCTGTGGCAACAGCAGCATCAAAAATGTGGAGAGGACTCACAAATCTAATTTCTACTTATGCTACTCATGAAAACCTAACATCACTGCATGACTCTCCGTTTGCAGTCATGTTGTAGCCATGTATGTGCAGCTGACTTCAATGTGACTTGGTTTTACATCTGTTGGTGAACTGATAGGAAGGAGGTTATCTTCTGGGAACAAATGGGCAAGGTGTTCTGTGTGTTCTGTGCTGCAAATTTCTACAACAAATATATATAATGAATACATTACATACTGTAGTTTTAAACTTAGCTCAACTTGTGAAGTGAGGCAGTGGTCCCTGCCACCTCAATGGAAAAATCTCATTTTTCCATTGCTTTTTTTCCAATCCATTTTTCCAATCTCAAAAAAGTCTTCCTGGAATAATATGCTTGCTTAGCTTACTGATGAAAAGAGGAGCAGTGGTAGCCCCAAGTGTCTCATCAGAGTTAGCAGCAGCAGCAGCAGCAGCAGCTGGCAGGCCCCTGAGAGTTTAAAAAGCCCGCCTTATTGCTAACAGTGCATTTGATAGATGTCAGGCCAGTAGAGAGTCTGTCATGTCAACTCAAATTGTCTGCCTGAACTGCTGTGGCTCGTAGGTTTCATGCTTCATTAATATGGAATTAGACCAAGTCAGTTGGAATAAAAAACAGTGGTAAGTTTCCTTTAGCTGATCTTTTCCATGTATGTATTTATAACATTTACATATTTTGCTAAAGCATGCTACTGTGCTGCTGCAGGTGATATTTTAATAGATGTTTTTCACAGCCGACATTTGTCTTCTGTGAAGCGTAGGTGTAACCAATAATATATTTATAGCTGCTTAACTTTTCATTCATAGTAGGGCTTTAACATTTTGGAAGCAGTGTAGGACTTGGCTGCAATATGTTTCATAGCCAGACCACTTGTGTCATTTGCTCTACTAATTTTGCTGCAACCCCAAGGGATCAGCATTTAATGTAGTGAGTAAAATTCTATCACCGATAGGAATTATAAGATCAGTATTGTAATAAAACTGAATTTCACTTACATACTATTAACGACCCCTTTAAAAGTTTGCTGACTTTGTGAAGGTCGCAGCTTGACTAACCACAGATGCCTAGAAATGATTCCAGAGCTGCTGCTACACACACACTCACACACAAACACACAGGCATATAAGGAAACACACATTTGACCTTGACAAAACACAGCAGAGCCAATTGCACATTAAACTACTACTTCTTATTGTACAAAATAGCATATTTTCTTGTAGGAATACACAAAATCTATGCTATTTATCTACCACTGGTGGTAATACATAAATGGTCTTTCCTAAAATTTTGATCCTTCTCATACATCCTCATTTTCATTATCCAGTAAACATGAATGAATTGATTATGTTCTCATTCTTTGTGCACTGATTATCACACTCCTTTAGGTCTTCCTAGCCTTTTCACATCTGCCAGTAGGAAAGTGCCCTCCTCAGCCCTGCCTCAGATGGTTAGTAAGTATATGTTGCTCGCTGTCTCCTCCCCTTGATTCTTTTTTCCCCTCTCAAGCTGTCTTACTCGCTCTCCCCTCCTCTTCTGTTACTCTTTCCTCAGTCCCTCTCTCCTTTTGATCACTTCGGTCCCATGCTCCACTCCCTCTCCTTTACTCCTACACTGCTCTATCACTCACTCACACACTCATTCTATCTATCCCTGGGCACTATCTCCACCATCAGAGAGCTTCACAGTGTCTGCGTTTTGCCAGGTGGACGCACTCCCCACAGTCACCATTTCCACCCCAGAGAGTTCCACGCTGGCAGCGCAGCCCCTTCCCCGGCTGAGCATCGGGCGGAAGACCCTGGTGGCAGCTGCTGTGGGGGTCATGCTGGTCCTGGTTCTGGTGGTCCTTATCCCTGTGCTGGTCAGTTCTGTTGGCACAGGTGGAGTAGATGAAAGCGCGAGCCACTACGAGATGCTGGGTACCTGCCGCATGGTTTGTGACCCCTTCTCCAGCACAGGCACAACAGGCACAGGTGTGCACACGGGTGCAGATACAACTACTACGGGTCTACAGGTGGACAACGAGGCAGATGTGAGCGATCATAGCATTGGCCCACCGCTGCCTACCTACAGTGCTCATGGTCCACAAGGTAAACCAGGACGTCCAGGCAAACCTGGGCCCCCAGGACCACCTGGAGAGCCAGGACCACCAGGGCCAAAGGGACCACCAGGAGATGGTGTGGACATAGTGCGGACGGGGATACTAGGTTTAGGGGGTAAAGGAGCAGTTAGCACAACCACCTATAACACCACACCTCGAGTGGCATTTTATGCAGGACTACGAAACCCTCAAGAAGGTTATGACATTCTGCGCTTTGATGATGTGGTGACTAATATCGGTGGTAACTATGAGGGTGCAACGGGAAAGTTCACCTGCAAGATCCCTGGTACCTACTTTTTCATCTACAATGTACTGATGAGGGGAGGAGATGGCACCAGCATGTGGGCTGACCTAATCAAGAATGGTCTGGTAGGTAACACTTTTAACTCTCTGGACACAAATCCTAATGTTTAATGATGAATTTATCAAATGGAAAAAGCACAATTTCTCAATATAGAAATATATCTTTTACTGATAATATGAGTTATGAAGCCTGAATCATTGTTAGGAGTAGAGTCACATCAATTATGAAGAGTCAGTGTAGGAGTCGCCAAACTTTTTATTCAGGCCGGGGAGATAATTCATCAGCAAATAAGGTGCATCAGAAAAACTCAAAATAAATGTGAACAGTTTTCATATTCATAGTGAAAAGGGGGGAAAACAAAACCATCATGTGATTATAATTCCAAGGGCTTCCAGAGAACAAAACAGCTCGACCTATTAGATGGCAATCACATTGGAGCCACCCAACATATTCTGCCAAGACTTTCAGCTCCATTAGAGCATAGTTAGTTCATTTTCACTCCTTCTGTCTATACAATGGGATCCAGATGCTCAGGGAACAGTGTCACCAGTGTACTGGCAGTCTAAATTTAGTAGTCATGCATTCAGGTGTATAGTGATTTCAGTTCTGACTTGATCTGGTGTTATGGTCCACTATAATGACAATGCATAGTGACACACTGCCAGACTGTGTACCTGTGCATATTACACATCCACTGATGTGCACATTGAAGTGAGTGGAAGGAGTGCAGTGCTATCTCAACCTTGCACACATCAAAATAGAGCCTGGGGTAGTGGCTGATTCAAAGCTGGTGCCCTTAGAAATACAACAAACTTCAGGGAAACATGATATGCCAGTGTGTGTTATCAGACTGCCTGTCAGGTGCAGGCGCTTCAGTGCTAAGTCATGATATTTGATATATTCATAGATAATTTTGTAATGTCCTTAAAGCCTCAGGCGTCAACACCGATCTTAGTAAATCTGAGCCTTGAAATTTCCTGCAAACATCTCAGCCATGCTGCAACAGGCTGTACAGGACAAGAACACAATAACATAATCAACTGTACAGTATAATACAATCCAATAACAGCCACATTAAAAATGCTTTATTAGAATTGAAGATATTGAAGCTCACAGAGATCTTTTTTGATTTTTCTTGTTTTACTAGGTTGTTTTGCAAGATACAGCCCATGGTGTGTACTTTCAGACAGTTCTGAGATACATCACACACAGCACACTTTGCTGTCAAATTGGACTGCATCATACTGTAAGGTGTTTGTGTTACTTTGTACCAGAGGTAAAAATAACTTGGACTATATCCAAGACAACAACGTCACACCCTAAAAACATATATTAGACACATTTTAGATTCCCACCTATCATTCAAGGCTATTGTATTGGTTGTATAATTTACTCATGATCAAATCAAATAAAATCAAATTTTATTTGTATAGCGCCAAATCACAACAAAAGCCATCTCAGGACCCTTTACAAAGTAAGGTCTAGACCTTACTGTTATCAATATTATTACATAGGGAAAACCCAACAAATCCCCCTTGAGCAATTACTTGGCGACAGTGGGGAGGAAAAACT